CTCTCAAGTTGCCATTCTTTTTTTGTTTTTTAATCATTTCATTAGGGGCTCATACAACTCTTATCACAATCCATACATACATCAATTGTGTAAGGCACATTTGTACATTCATTGCCCTCATCATTCTCAAAACATTTGCTCTCCACCTAAGCCCCCTGGCATCCGCTCCTCATCTTTTCCCCTCCGACCTTGCTCCCCCCTCCCTCATGAACCCTTGATAATTTATAAATTATTATTCTGTCATATCTTGCCCTGTCTGACGTCTCCCGCTATTCTTTCTATAAGATCGTCTGCACTGGCCTCAACCTTGCTTAAAAGACTAAGGACAAGATAAGCTCTTTGAGCTAGCTTCCTCGAAAAATGCTTTTGGCACTAGTTGGATGGTTCGAGGTCTATAGCAGAAAACTTTCTAGAGTCAAAATATTTGCTTAAAGTTGAAAATGCCAAACTACTTCATTAACGATGGAATCGATGTCATTCCACAGTTTCTTCCCTTCAGCCTGTTTCTGAAACTGTCCAGGGTAATGGCTCCTCTTGGCTCCTCTCTTGGCTCCTCTTCGTGTGCTATGGTTTTTTCCCCCCCAGATAATAGAGATATATAGCATTTTCACATCATTAAATTTCTATAGTCCAATATTAGTCTAAGTGTCCCTTCAAAGAGATTGTTAATGAAGAATTTCTGATGAGTCTTGCAAATCATATTTTTTTTAAATTTTGTTGAGTAAAGTGAACATTTTCTGGCATAGTTGCAGAATTCTGCCTTATACTTTTCTAAAAGACTGCCATTATTCTTAATTACTGTGAGTCTAATCTGACTCATGTTTGACCCCATAGCTTGGAATAATTTGAAAGACAGGAATAATTTCAGACACATTTGATAATCTCTAATTTGAATGATTATGAATAAAGACTGAAAACCTTAAAAAACATTTTCTCCCACTACCACTTAATATTACTGTACACTTGGTATATATGTGATGGTTATGAAAGCATATTTTAGATTGGCTCATCTAATAATCTAATACTTCTCATTTGGCTTAATTTTCACTACAGCTAATAAAGAATTAACAAAACACCCTCTGACATAGAGTCTTTGGACAATTATTTGTTAGGCCTCACTTTTAAATGGATTTGTCAAAAAAAAGTTTCAAATGACAGAACATCAAGAATCATGGCAAGAAATGCAGACATTTAAAATGAAAATACCTTTGATGATGTTACACATCAAGGGAAAGATGTCGGGGCAGATGTTGCCGGACTTTCTAAACTCTAGGGCAGAAAGCCAGCTCTGTTATCAGGGAATAAACAGGTGGTAGCAGAAGCTCAAGGCAACTCCGTATCAATCATTTTTCTCTTAAATTCTATAGATTCTCTCTGTACCATGAACTGAAACTCACACAGGGAAGAACACCAGGTAGTAAAACTTCTCATGTTCATAACTGGCATGCACAAACATTATCTCTAATGTCCACCTGCTTCCCATTGGCAGTTCTTAAAGAATGCATAATACCATCAGCACATTCCTGGAAATGTGAGAGACAACAAAGAGTATGCTTTGCAAAGAAGGCCCCTAAAGCCATGTATGGGTTTTAGTGGGTCTTTTACCCAGAACTTTAAAAAATGAATCCCAGTTTTCCTTTCTCATTCATAGACGACTCATGAATTTACAAACTCAGGAGTGTTCCAAATGGATTATCAGAAATAACACAAAAAACAGAATAAAACAAGTCTATACTATTTTGTGAACAAGGATTTAGTGAAAAAATATTTAGAGACCCCTTGACTTCCACCTAGAAGATCGATGGCATTTTTAAGTGTATCTGATTTTGTTCTCTTTAGATGCTGTGTCTGAATATTTTGAGCTGTGCCATTCAAATACTTTGAATTGATTTCAGTGGTTTAAAAAGAAAATTTAAATTCAAAATCTGTGACGTGTACAAAACTTAAGTACATAGCATAATGAATTGTTACAAATGTATAAACCTTATATTTATTCTTTCCTTTCCCAGGAAATTTTTCTATCTTTAGAAGTAACAACTAATTTTGTTTGTTCTTTAACTTCATATGGAAAGAATAACAGAAAGCACATTTTTTCTATCTGCACTAATTTTTTATTTTCTTTGTTTTCATATACAAAGGATAACAGAAAATGTGCTTTTTGCTTCTGTTTTTTAGATGCAGTCCTGTTGCTATGCATATAAATTAAATTCTTTTATTAATGCTTGAAAGATCCTTTTTTTTTTTAACATTTTATTAGGGGCTCATATAACTGTTATCCCATTCCATACACACATCAATTGTGTAAAGCGCATTTGTACATCGTTTCTCAAAACATTTTCTCTGAAAGATTCTAGTACACACTTTACTTATCGGTTGCAGTGTTCTTAAATTAAGCACTTTTAAAATTAGTTATTTGTGTTATAGGGAAAATATTTTAAATAAGAAACAAGTAATTTAAGTAGAGAGCAAATATACTAAATCTTTAAGAGGCAATAATTAGGTAGAGTTTCATGTGATTTTCCACTTTTTTCTTTTATAACTTTGTGCACCTTGCTATCAGAACCTTATTTATAAAACAAAGATAAACCAAACATAATTCTTTCCTCTAGTGAGGATGATAATAATGGATCAGCTGAAATCCCCTAGATGCTTTGTTCCAAATATAGTAAGCCTGATGCTATAGAAAGCCAAGATAACAAAATATTGTTGTAGAATTCTATCTTCACAGGGCAGAGATGGCCCTTG